GTGAAATGCCCTGCTTTAAGTGCTAAAAATGCACTATTTAAAGCATTTGATTACAGTTACTAATCTCCTGCCTTTTTAAATGTTTTTTTAACAATATTCTCATTTGATAAAATAAAATAAATGTGCAAATTAAATAACTGGACAAAATATTTGTAGATATTTTTTTTTGCATAAGAATCACTTTGATTGCAGTTATCAACAGATCAACGAACGAACCTATTTTGCACCTGATAACGACACTTTCAGAGTGAAGTTAAGAAAATTGAATCAGGTTTCACTTTGTAAGACAACCGGAAGGAACTCTGCAAACTTTTCGGCAACATTTCTGATAGCCTAAAAAGGTGCTTTTCTAGGGAGCAAAAAAACACCTAAACAGCTGTGTCGCTAGCAAAGAGTTTGGACGCTGAAAAAGGTAATCAGAAAAGGACTGGCTACAAAAAATGCTGAAAAGCAAAAACAACTTGAATTTTTAATCTTTTGGTAAAGCTTATAAACCTGTTTGCAAAACGGAATTGGTGGCTCTGCGCGTTGACGAGATGCGGGCTTAGACAACAACTATTTAGTTACCATACTCGTTTTAAAATCTTCTCATCAACACTTCAAAAATTATTTATGTTTTCTTTCTTGCAAAGAAACTGCAAGCAATTTTTTGGCGCTCGGTCTCGTCATTATTTTAAAATCGGTTTTGAATTACTGTGCGTCGAAATTGTTATGTATCACGTGGGGGTGATAGCCAAGGGGTTTATTTGAAGAAAAGACAGATGATAAACGTAGAACAACAACTGAACAGAACTCAACCTTTCAAGCAATAGGGGAGCTCTTATATAGGGATTCCTGAAAGGCATAGATCAAAATATACTGATTGGAGGTTAGAACTTACATTTGCACTGAGGCAAGTATAATGATCTATACCAAAAGGGTGTATTAAGGCAAACATAACAAAATTATAAAATGCTTCATCGATCAGGCACAAAAAATACTAAAGTTTGTAAAATAAAGGATAACTAAAGGTCTGGTCGATCGCTTGATTACTTTTGTTTCTAGCTTAAAACGCCTTATTTCTTGATAAACTTTTCAATCCCGTCAAGAAAACGATTTGATAGCGTTTTTGGGTTGTTCGGGCAGTATGGCGTGTTTCTTCCTTTTCTTTCTATTTTGCCTTTTTTTTGCTTTTTTTCTGCGTTCTCTTGTTAAATATGATAGACGTGAAACATTTGAAGTATACTATGTTATATAAGCACTTTAATCCGATTGCAACTCCGGTTCCAGTTTCCGGACAAACAGCAAAACAGGTCGTTAGGCTTATTACAAATACGTCTTTTCATTAATTATTTAAAAGGTTTGATAAGTCTTTTTTTACGGTTTGCTGGCTTAAAGAATGTTCTTTCAGTGCTGTTTCTCTGACTAAAAACTGTGCATTCAGAATTGCCTAATCTCCTCATTTATAACCTTGGTGAGCAAACAAACTTTTTGCTCGTTTTTAGCAGAATG